AACGCAAGGGCCCCCTAAAAACAAAACGAGTTTAGAACCAAATTTTTCCGTGGTTACCCAAGCCTAATAGTTACACAATCATAACTAAGTCTGTGATGTTCTATCTCAGCCATCATGATTACTATTGTATATGAAGCACTATTTAGATCAGGCATGGGTAAACTTTGGCCCATCACACGACGTCTCTGGACTTCCGGTGGAGGCCCTACCTAGAACTGGAGTGGAAGCATTGTATGATGCTTCCCTCGCAACATGGGAGGCTTCCTGTGTTGTGCTGGCTCCAATGGAGCCAGTGAATCCACACAGTTTTGGCGACGATTCTCCCATATGATGGGGGAAGCATCACTGTGAAGGAGCATTGCATGGGGTGACAGATTAGCCCTGCTGTCCCTCAGATCACTGGCGAGATGCTTTGCCTGGCTAATGTGATAAGGTCCTAAAATTTAAATCAGCTATCCAAGGTTCTGAATCATGTCATGTCTGATGTAAACATCCATAAGGGGATTTGTGGTTGCTGGATATCACACCACTTAGTCAATTGGTGTGTGATGAGTATTTTGTATCAATAAAATACAACTGTAGCAACCAATCAGACTTATTCAAAACATGTTGTTAATGGAATATAAATATTACCTTTGGACCAATAGGACCAGGAAGGCCAGGGGGTCCTGGTAAGCCAGTTTCACCTGCCTCACCCTGAAGAAAAGATGCAAACAAACAGAAGAAGAAGCAAACACAGATAGGAGCTTTTAAAAAAACTGTTATAGATAAAAAAAGGTTATGAAAGATGTGATGGACAGAAATATCATAACACAGACATTAGGAAATAGAAAGCAAAGGTCTGAAAAGTACAGATGGAAAATATCTAGAAGTGCCACCAAAATATAAAATATGCCAGTATTGACTTCTATCATTTTGTTTTTTTTATGGAATCCTCCTTTACCCCCAAAATGGGTTTTCTACATTTGCCTCAATTAGTTTTTTAAAAATTAAAACCTTGTTTTTTTTAATACACTAGAGGCTTTGAATCATCTCTGAGTCCTTCTCATTTACTCTGTGTGAGTGCTATAAATCTCTCTTCGGCCTTCGATACCATCGACCACGATATCCTCCTGGGACGCCTCGCGGGAATGGGCCTTGGGGATACTGCTTTGCAGTGGCTCCAGTCCTTCCTCAAGGGGCGCTCCCAGAAGGTGTTACTAGGGGACTCCTGCTTGACTCCACGGCCATTGTACTGTGGGGTCCCGCAGGGCTCTGTACTGTCCCCTATGTTGTTCAACATATACATGAAGCTGTTGGGAGAGATCATCCTGAGTTTCGGGGTTTGATATCATCTGTATGCAAATAATGTCCAACTTTGTTACTCCTGTCCACCTGCTACTAAGGAATGTATAATATGAAAGCAGAAAGTGGCACCTGTAATTTAAATTGAACTTCTGGGCAAGTTTTTTTTAAAATATACTCATTATAAGGTCCAGTGTGAGACTTTCAATACAGACACAATTTAAGCCTTTATGTGTGAAAACACCTTAAGGAAGACATCTGTAATGAAATACCACCAACCATTTTCTCATCCGCCCATTTGTTACTACAGGCACAGAAGCTGGTCAATTTCCAAGTCTTCTACCTGCTTAGAAACAACTTCTGTTGCATGTTTCCACCCTGGCATTTTTATACAGATCCTCTTTCAGTGGATACCCATCCTATGATTGCGTTCTTACAGGAAGAAATACATTCTTTTCCCCCATGAATTAAAAAAAAGTTGGATAAATTAATCTATTGTCGAAGGCTCTCATGGCCGGAATCACTGGGTTATTGTAGGTTTTTCCGGGCTATATGGCCATGTTCTAGAGGCATTTTCTCCTGACGTTCGCCTGCATCTATGGCAAGCATCCTCAGAGGCAAGCATCCTCACTACCTCTGAGGATGCTTGCCATAGATACAGGCGAAACGTCAGGAGAAAATGCCTCTAGAACATGGTCATATAGCCCGGAAAAACCTACCTCACTACCTCTGAGGATTGCTGGGAGTTGCAATCCAGGAATAGGAAATTAGAAATATGGAGGAATTAGGATGCTCTCAAAGAAATCTAAGGAGAAGAAAGCTTGCATCTTGGAAGCAGTGCATTTGGATCATCCTTCTCTCCTAAAGGGGCTGGTCTAGGGGATGCTGGGAGCTGTAGTCTGGAAGATAGTTTGGATATGCCATTGTGTGTGGGGGGGGGGGGTTGCCAGTGAGAGTCGTTTTTGTGCATGCACTGTAGCATCATTTTGCTTTTTTTGCTTTTTAAGTTCCTTCTGCTGTGTTTTTCAGTGTTTTTATGAGTGATGGTCACTCATTGGCCTGATAGGTCTATTGTGTCCAAATTCCGTGTCAATTCGTCCAGTGGTTTCTGAAATATGTTAAGCCCACAAACTAACATTACATTTTTATTTATATAGATGTTGGGTTTGTTTCTTGCACTGCAGATGCTCTCTTGAGAATGAGAATTAACTATGCAAGATCCATGGCCTTTTCCCAGTCTATGGTTCTGTGATGCTTCATGGATACAAGTTCAGCTTTCCAGTGGCAATGACAGATATTCATGCAAACAATTTAAGGCCTAATTTTTGGAAGATGCTTTGGGTGCCATTTGTGATAGAAGATTACAGTCAAAACATATCTCTCTCTCTCTCTCTCTCTCACACACACACACACACACACACACACTTAAAACTTAAGCTCTCTGTAAGTGGGTACGACAATTCAAAGATGGCCATGACAATGTCCATGATGAGGACCGCTCCGGTCGCCCTTCTTTGATTACAGATGATTTGGTGGCTTCAGTTGAAATGAGGATTCGTGAGAACAGGTGCTTCACAATAACAATAATAAAAATCTTTGAATTGTCGTACCCACTTACACACTTTGCTTTCACTCATAACAACATCACCGTACACTTCACAAATCTCTAGATGAATTTCTGCAGCAGGCAGGTTCCTTGCTGACAAAAACCGTATCACTGAGCGAACCTCACATGCGGAGGGTGAGTTGATAATCTTAAACATTTTTAAAGCACAGAACAGAACCGTACAGGTTAGCTACAGAGCGGAAACTGAGCACAGTTGTTCCCGATGCATGCCGGTACACGACGCACGTGCTCGTTGCGGTATGCGCGCGAACTACTAGTGTCTACAACAAAACGGACCTTACTTAAAAAATACCCCTCATATATAATTAACAAAAGCATAAAAATAGAAAACCAGTGAAGACTACTGCCCATTCTGATGGGAAGATTTGAGGAGTTGTAGTCTCAAAAAGTAGCATTTCCAGATTCTGGAAAGCTATGTTGTTGCATTGGTATTTTAATGTTCCATAAATGTTCATTAGCCTTCAGTTTTAATGTCACTCTAATATTTCCTAGTTATGTGTTTTGTATTGACAATTATTTTAATTATTGTGCATTGCCCTGGGTCATAGTAAACAGAAGTTATGATTCATAAATCAGCTAGCTAACTCTACACATTATTATGCTACAGGGAGCATTGCTAAACATTTCAGTTAGGCTTTATTCAGGGTAAACTGGGAGATAATATGGAATATTTTCCATAAGAAAGTGAACACAAAAGTTGTTTTAAAATAAGAAACTGGAACAATTTTGGGGTTTCCAGAATTTTCATGCCCAAACTCTCCTGGCAGAAAATGTCCTCAGTAGCTAAGAAACCTTAATACTACTTGAGAAATTGAAATATCTCCAATCCCACCCTTTTGTAATAGATTCCACCCATGGGGAATGACAGAGGTTGTGATGGCTCAAGAGGAAGTCACACTTACATTAAACCTAGTCATTCCCAGACAAACTTACTCGTTGGTAGGAAATGACTGAAGTGCTATGACTAGGATATGCTTGTGTATATGTGCCAAAACAAGGAAAAGATGGTGCATCTTTGCCAACGCATTCCCAGATGACTCAAATTCACTTTAATGTATTTAAAATCCTGCTGTATACATTTCATTTTCCAGTGCTGTGCTGCTCAAATATTTTGTTCATACCTTTCTTCCATGGTAGCCCTGAATTCCAGGTTCTCCCTGTAAAAGTGAAGCAAACGAAAAACAAGCCATGAACAAGACTGGATGGAGACCAAACACCTTTCCCTTTTGGAATATGAACATACATTAACTTAATCCAGATTCTGAAAAAGTATATCAAGAAATCAAGTGCTGCGGTGCATTCCTAT